GTCTGTGCTTTCAACACTATTATTGGTGTTATCAGAGCTTTGTAGCTAGTTCTAAAGGAGTACAGTAGAAAACAGTTTCAGTAGTGTATTTCGCTATCTCAATATAATCCACCGAAATAATAGGGCTCAAGAATAGTTTTACTTTGGCTTGTCGATCCAACTGGTTAAGACACTTTCGATTTGCTTCGAAGGAATTGCCTATAATGTCAGGAAAATGTCCAAATTGTAGGTTTTGTTGGTTCCAAATGGACTTCGTGTATTTTCCATAAATTCCACATCTACACTCATCTTATATTTCTAGACTAGAAAATTGTTCATGTGAACTGTAGAAAACATCCTTTTTCTGGTGTTGACCAAGATTATGTGTGCTATCCATGCTTGTATCAAATGAATTGGTTTTTCTATACGTAATATATACTATTTTCATTGTTTCTATGACCAATTGTCTTCCAGTCTTATTTCTACATATATTTTGATTCGTATAATGTTCATAGTTTATAATTATAGGTATTCGTATTTATTGTGCATAGATTGTACATTATTTGTCACTCGCTTTCCCTCAGTGTGTTTCACTTCTAAATTATGTTTCTACAGAGTCAATTCGTTTGATTCGTGCTCATAATCGAATTCCTATTATCTTTGAAACAGTAATAATCACATTTCTTCCTACTATCAGTAAACTCATTCTACAGCTCAGTCTGTCGTTGTGTAACATGCATACATTGATAATTATGATGTGCATCATCTTCCACAAACAACCCAATCAGTTAGTTATTCATTATTTTCCTTTGGATTGTTTAATGGCTATTCATTCGATATCTAGAGAATAGAAATGATAGTGTGTGGAATCAATCGAAAAGGAAGAAATCACTTCTCACACTTGGCTACTCTATTGTGTGGGTTGCATCTTGGTGTTGGAAGTGGAGGTTTGGCTAGATGAGCCTTTCGTTTTGCTAAGCCCTACTTTATTTGATCTCCCCAACAATGCCCAACCACACTCGAACATGTCATTCAAATACGATGGAATTCCAATCCTCTTTTCAATCCATTATTTCGCTTATGTAATGAGTGGTAACAGTAGAAAGTCATTGAGATATTATAATTATGTGTATTGCTGCTGTGTTCTAAAACAATATGTTCTCGGTAGATGCAGTAGAATCATTAGCACAATGCTAGCAAATCAACTATCAATTCACAGCACTCTATTATTATTATTATCAACTAGAGTCGTTTGGTTCCTCGTTCTGGATTATTCTGTTCATGTTTCTAAATCATTCCAACACCCTACACACTCTAAATCTACATTTTCCTTCTTTCCTTCCTAAACACATTTTCGATTCTCATTCTAATCCTACAACGCTTCAACCATTCCACATCTCTACAATTCCATCCATCCACATCACTCCTTTCACTCTTTTCTTCCTCTTCACACTTTTTTCCACCCTACACACATACACAATACTAGCTATTCGGCCTGCTTAAGTTTCACTGGTAAAGCTTACCGAATTCCTCACATCCCATTCGAGTAGCGAGTACTCCTTCCCCACAAAACCAATTTCCATAGTATCTACAGTTTGTGGTGAAGAATGGCGAACCATTGCCGTCAACCCAGTTACGATCGAATCCTATCTCCTTACTCATTCAATCCATTCACAATTCCTACTCCTTCCACCCTTCCGCCATCATTACACTTCCCCTCGGTTTTTCCATTCAGACGCGATGGCTTGCTGCTTCCAGTAGAATCGCAGGAATCCAAATTCTTACCTCCCAGTAACCAATCATCCTTATCCAACCCTATAGTTTCCATTTATCAAACAAACCAACAATATCCTCCCTGGATTAACAGTCAACGCGACGTTGACTTCTTGAATCTCGATGGATAATCCCAAACAAACAATCAAACACTCCTTTCTTTGTACGTTTTTCAGTGTGGAGTCCATAGATTCAGTATTGACACGCTCATGGTTCATTTCCAATCCTCTTCAATTCTTATACAACTAAAAATCTAATGAATCGAAAAACCAACAATCACAATCACAATCACAATCACAATCACATAGAATTCAGTCCTATCACTTTCACTCTATTCACTTTCCTACTCAGTATTGTTTATATTCCAATCCTTTCCAACAATATCACTAAAACAGCAGTTATACAATAAAAGATTTTCTCGTTGATTATCATGAAACCTTATGAGTATCGTTATTCCCTCTTCTTTATCTCAATACCACGCACACTTCCATCCCTTCATTTCTTTTAACAAACACTTCACAACCCATACTTCTTCTCCCTCAAATAATTCTCCACATTCTTGCACACTCGCTCCATTTCCTCCACCGCCTGCATGTGCGCACTGTTCACCTTCTCTACCGCGGGGAGAATACTCGAAACGAACCACTACGCCTCACTTACTTCCTCCCAAACTTACTCCATTTTCCCACTTCAATTCCTTCATTTTCTTCGCATACTCACCCTTTTCCACCTTTTCTCCTTTTACCACCTTCAGAATTCCACGAATTCCATTCATTACCACCGTCGCGCGCTTGTCTTTCTTCGCGTTTCGCTTATTTGGCGGCAAAAGAACCGCCAACCAAACCAGAACACAATTACAAAGCTGACTCACCGCGGATAAATCCTCACCCATGATCGGCTTCTCTCCCGCGGGAGTCGCCTCCATTTCGGCTAAAATCGCCTCCATTTCTTTTTCCGCGGTTTCGACATCGGTTTCATCGTGGAAAACGCGTAACGCCAACTCAAAAAGATGGTATCCCCCGCGCATCAGCGAGGGCGTTTCATCTCCCAACTGTGCGAAACTGGTGCGCACGGCTTCGATGCGTTCCGCGGGAATCTTATCGAACTGACCGTCGTTGGAGACGAAAATCCAAAGAAGGGAAGCGACAGCCAATCGGAAACGCGCCACGTTGACGATCGTCCCGCGGTTAAGTCGTCCCAACTGAGTGTGGAAATGGGGGTAAAAGCGGCAGAATTCGAAATCGAAGTTCGATCGGCAGTTTTCCTACAAAAAAGCCCCGAATTGTGGAATACAGGGAGAGGAGCGAGCAACTCATCGAAACACATTTGACTGACAACCTCGCGATCCTATTGGTCAAATTAACTGAATGAAACGACCTTCAACGAAGCCGTGAGAGACGCAAAGAAGAAGTCCGAAAGAACGGCGAGGCGTTCAATGGAATGTTCTAATCGAATTCGAAGATTCCGGATGGTTTCCATGTTGATGAACGATCTCTCGCGAATGCAATCGAATTCTTTTTGGAACGACTCCATTCGCCTGCAATTCACGCCGAATTCCAATCGAAAACCCGTTGAAATCGAAGCGATTCAGCTGCTCCCAAAGCTTGCGCAGCTCCAAGAAGGAACCGAATTCCGACGTGACACAATGAAGCGGTGCGCCCAATGAAAGCAGCTGAATGTCGATGACCTTCAGCGCCACTACAATGAAAGAAAACCAAACAAACTTCACGGAAATGTTCGATGGCAGCGGATGAAACGCCCAGTTCGTAGTATTGGAGAACCAGCGCCAATTCCGCTCTAAAAAAGTGCGGTCGTTTTCTGACCGATTCTTCGAGAAGCATGACGCACTCGCATCCACATCGGAATCTCTCCAGATTCGACATTTCCTCGTCTATTGGTTCATGTACCCGCGGGAATCGTACATTTTCGTTTTAAAAGTTGGGCGGCAACGAGAGGAATGGAATCCAAAGGAATGATTTCCTTTGTAGGCAACGAATCTTTGTATGAATCAATTTCCATTTCATAAATGTGAATCAATTCCTTCACAAAGGACAAATTCACGGGAATCGATGTCACATTCGCTATCTCAATACACGTCAGCTTGCGCTGCACGTTTTCCAATAATTCCGCCGATTTCGTCACGGAAACTGTCAAATTCAACACACTGATGATGAACTTCGATAGAATTTCCATTGATTCTACACGTAAAGTGGTTCATCATCACTATGAACTTTCGCTATGAAGAACACAGAGCCAACGCTCCAAATCGTGGAAACAAAACGGTCGTTCGCCATACCGTTTCACAAACTGGCACACAATTTCCGCCAACTCCGTATCCAATGAAACTCCCTTCTTCACTTCGATGCTTTTTACCTCCAAGCGGAACAACCACAATAACCGCGATTCTTCGAATTTCTTCGCATACGCGTCCAGCGATTCCTTTAGAACCGAAACCGAATCTTCGCATACTACAGTCCAAAAAAGCCCGATTTCTTACGCTCCGACACACACTGGCAATAATACGAAACCGAATCCCAGTCGTTTTTGTTTCCCTCCAAAATGTCATTGAATAACCGCGGGACGATCTCTTTTTCCCGCCCTAATTCTTTCAATACGGTTCGCTCCAGAATTCGTTCGTCCAATAAGCGTTGAGACACGAGATACGTTTTCATTCGGTTCTCCAGAACTTCTTCCGCTTCTTTGAATTTTCCCTCGCGAATCAGAACCGCGGTTAAGAGCCATTCGAAGTTTCGACCTTCGCGGGTGTCGCGACCGACCTATTTGTCAGAAATCGGGACTATTTTGACGGCATCGATCTGCTTTTGAATGATTCGCTCGGAGAGAAGCAAAAGCATTTTGAATTTGGCGGGATCTTCGGGCGTTTCGTTGAGTAAAACGTTTACGCAGTTCCAGATCGTGTACTCGTCTTTCTTCTTGTACAGCTGGCCCAATTCGATGGAGAGCTCGCGCATTCGGCTGAAGTTACGCTATGGTCAATTGCAGAAACCGCGTCTACCGTGTGGAAGTAGGAATAGTACAAGAATTCACCCGTGGTGATATTGTGCTTGTCCTTTGCGTGGGCGATCTCGAGGAGCTTCACTCCAAGCGAAAAATCACCGACGAAGTGGATAACTCGCATGGCTTGATTGATAACTTCCATGTCTGTGGGCTTCAGCTCCTACAACGTGGAAAAAAGGAAAAGAGAATAAACGATCAGGTCTTCAATGCTCTCGCGCGCTTTTTCGCGATTACCCAGATAAATACAACACGTACCCTTCAAGGACTAGAAGTGAGAGGCAGTACAGCCTAGGCGTACTTGAGCAATCGTGTATCGTTTTAATTCTGGGGAGCAGAGCGTTTTGTACGCTTTCTTGAATTTTCCTGCATCGATGTATGAATACGCTGCTTGAATAAGCTTTGACATTGGTAAGCGAATAAATTTGGATGAATCTCAAAACAAGAGTGAAAGGACCAAAAACTGGAATTCCAAAAGTTTCCAACAAACAACATAGCTCGATTTCTCGTTGACCAAGTGCTGTCTTGTTTGCAAAATTAAGAAAAACGAAGCAATGCAATGCAATGCAAAAACTATTCAAGGATATATATTCCCAAATCAATATGGATCCGCTCACATGCACATTCAGCGACCTAATAATGCCAAACTGCGGAATTTCTATGCATAAATCCAACATCTGGATGATTTTCGCCGGAATTCCCTCCTTCTCCTTTCCCAGCACCAACGCCATCTTTTCCGGGAATTCCACTTTTCCGAGGGTTTTGCTCGTCACCGTTTGCTCCAATCCCACCAACGCGTAGCCCTCTTCCTTCAGCCTTCTCAAATACGCAGGCAGCTCACTCTCCGGACACTCCTCCATTTCTACCCATTCTTCCGCGGTTACGCTCGTCTACACCTCGCGTTTCCCCGTTTCCCCTACCGATTTGAAGACCTGCTCCTTTTTGCATCGCAGCGAATTCACGACGATCTTCTCCACCGCGAAAATCTCCCCGGTTCGCGTCAGTCCGCCCAGATTGGGCAGTTTGTCCACCAGCGACGCGATCACCACGATTTTCTGCTTCTTTCGATGCTCCACCTCCGATTTCGAACTCGCCTCCCACGGCAGAATCTTCTTCTGGAAGTTCGAAAATTGCTCCGAATTCTGGAAGGTCGAAAATTGCTCCGAATTCTGGAGCTCCGGATAAGTGCCGGATTTCGGCGTGGTTTCGCGGGATTCCGCGGTGGTTGGCGGGAAATCTTCGCGGTACCACGACGCCAGCAAGTTCTCCATTTCTTCCCGCACTTGATCCATCAGAACCGCGGGAATGAAGTCGTTCAGGTTGTTCAGAGGAAGGGAAAACAGGGAAACCGTGGAACACTCGCGATCGACGTTTCGTTCTTCGCAGAGCGCGGCTTGCTTTCTTCGCATGGCGGCAATCCGAGGATTTCCCGCCAACATCCGCTTCAGCCAATCATACTGCGGCATTTTGAAACGCTCCAAAACGTGGAAACAGAGAACCTGAGAGACGGTGCGCGTCAATCCCTCGGGAGCCATTGACCACGGGAATGCTGCATCCAAAAAAGCCCCGATACTTGGAGAATCCGTGGAAACGGAGAAAAGTGGAAACACGGCGATTTGGAGAAGCGAGGGAACCGTTTGACCCGACTGCGATGGAATTCGAAGAAGCGACAAAAGCGCGTCGTACGAAGATTCCGAAAATCGCTCCGATTTTAGCAATTGCATGCCAAAAAGTTCCTCGTAATGACGCACATCGCGCAAATTCAGCTGCTGAATGCAGCGCAAGAACCGCGGGAAACACAAGGCAGCGAGCTCCTTGGTTAAACCGCGGGAACAGACACAAAGAGCCTGCCAACAACGAACGCGACTCCCGTTTTCCTCGCTATTTTGCACGTGACTGCCAGAATTCGACAGTTTTTCTGCATATTCCAATAACCGCGGGATTAGGCGATTGAGTAAAGAGGAAGCTGTTCCCGCGGTAATCAGGGATTCGATAAATTGGAGGGAAAGAGCGCGGGGCTGCAAATTTGGAGGCGTTTTTGTGATTGCCAGCTCTTCCCGCGGTTCTTTCATCAAGAGAAGCAATTCGAATTCTTCCACAAACTCACCGAGGTGGCGCATGTGTTTCCCCATTTTCTCCAAAAACAGGGGAACAAACGTGGAACCCAATGAGGTACCTCCGTTTCCCATATTCTTGAAAATGGTTTGTACAAGGGTGTGATAACCGCGGGGAGGCGATTCCACAAAGAAGAAATCATGAGTGAGCAGGGAAGCAAGCACGACTCGAATAGCTGGATCCCCGCGGAGATTTCTGAATACGGTAGAAATGGCGGAAATCAGGGAATCAGCCAATCCTTCCATATTGAGTGAAGATTGATGGAGTTGAATGTGAGAAAGGAAATTATGCACATAATGGAGAAGCGGACCCAACAATTCATCATCACACACCGACAAAAACTCCAAAAGAGGAGAGATGAGTTCGATGTCAAAGCAATTCTGACGAGACAACGCCAGCCAGCATGATTTCAAAGCCACATGTCTCGCAATCGATGAAAGGGATGATGAAGCATTCTCCAGACGATTCAACACAAGCAGCCATTCATTCACATTCACATTCACATTCACATTCACATTTATTCCAATCGACACATGAATTCGAGAGAGCCAGCGACTCCAAACCATCAACTGCTCCTCTGTGATCTCACTCACACGGATCCCCGCGATTCTCTGTCGAAGAAACTCCCCATTCGTTGTGAAACTTTCGATTTCAATGGCATCCAACATTCGATCATTCGCACTCCATTCATTCATCCCATTCGAAATGAAACTCTCCAACCATTCCGCGGGAATAAGCTGCTTCACCCAATCGATGTCGTCACACCCAATAATCGATCGATATTGCAGAGAGCGACAACACACATGAAGAATCGATTCGAATTCGCATGTCTGTCGCAGCTCTTCGATTTGGAAACTTCCGAGCTGAACAGCCATACATAAAAGCCAGCTGAGACACGCCACATTCTCTTCGCTTTAATTTCCCCAAGGTCTACGATTCTGCCGACCATTC